TAAACATAACCAATTACATATACCATTAAAAGCATATGACTCAAGAATCGGGTCATTATAAGACAGGAACACTTCCAAATACATGACGAAACCTTCGGTGTTGCACTTTCATTCATTACACAAAAGTAACAATAAGTATCATTGACCTCTCGAAGCTCCACAACCACACATCCATGACAACCAGGTAACACAGTCCATACCCCCAAGAGACGAGCCTGCTATTGCCCAATGACTTACAATCAACCAATTTAAATCCCATAAATAAAAAGAACCTTACCCTTCGTACATTCATATTCATTCACAGATTCACAAGAATTTCTAACGTTAGCCTCATATATCCTTCCGAAAATACCTGATCCCACCTCTTCTTGTACAACTCCCGGTTACGGCAAATTGTACAATAAAACGTTATCGCAAGAACGCGCCTTCGCACCTCACTAACCCCTTTCCCCCTCATCACCCACGATATGTAGATATAATCCACCATGATGCATTCTAAAGCTCTTATGACTTCCTCTTCTAAACCACCCATGTCAAGACTTAAAGCACGCAGAACCCCCACCCCACACCCTCCCACCCTCAGTACCAACCTACCCAACCAACCCCTGATGTCTTCTAACCCTTCACAAAAATAAACAACATGGAATGCTGTGTCGTCCCCTCCACAAAAACCACACCCCTCTCCTTCTACTACTCTCCTGGTTCTTAGTATGGCCCCTGACGGCAAGATACCGTGCAAAAAACGAAACATAACGTCACCCACCCTAGGCAATAATTTCAGCTTGCTAAATCTATACCAAATGTTTCTCCACGAGTACATGGGGAACAAACCCTCAACAGAGGCAACACACTTACCCACCAGCAACCTACACAAAACCCGTATTCGAATGTTTCTCCGTTCCCTAACCAACAACAAGGTCTGTAGAACAACTTCATATTCCCTCAATTCAATGCCTCCATACCACTTCTTCAACCTCATATATACCTGTTCTATATTTCCCGCCATCACGCCCACACGCAATACCTCCAATTTAAGAAACACACATTTAGCCCTCCGTCTTAGATCCATCAATCCCAACCCACACTGGCACACCGGTAACATAACCTCTCTTCTTAACCAATCACAACTTGATCCCCATAAAAATTTAAACACTCTTCTCAAAATTCCGCAATCGCCGTCCCTGTAATCGGGAACACAGCCGCAACATGCCAAACCTTACTATACAATAAAACATTTATGACAATCACACGTTGGGCCAAAGTGAGATGTTGGGGCCTCAAAACACCCAGACGTCCCACGATCCTTTCTAACAACCTATCTGAGTTTTCCTCATGTGCCACATCCATGTCATCCTTGTATAAAATACCACAAATCTATAGCGACACCGCACACTTTTTGACAACATTACAACTCACCTTACCCTCCCCTTTCCAAGTGCCCAACCCCATGATCATTAACTTCTCACTGTTTACCTTCATGCCCGTGGCACGTTCAAACACTTGCACAACATCGTCCAATACTTTCATAGACATCCTTTCACGAACCAGAACAGTCGTATCATCTACGTAACCTATTAATCAAGGCCAAAGCGTCCCTCCCTCATCCCCACCCTCACCCCGGGTACTGGTAGTACATTCAACCATTCTATAAAAGGGGTCCTGAAAACACGCAAATAAAATCTTTGACATAGGACACCCCTCCCTGAGACCTCTACCCATCGCAAATTCCTTCCCCATGCACCCATTTATTTGTACCCTCATTTTTGCTCCCCAATACAGCATATTTACCCAATCAACTATTCCTTCCCCATAACCTTGTCTCCTAAGTCTACCCAGCAGTGCATGCTTTTCCACTCTATCATAGGCTGCCTGCTAGTCCAAAGCCAGTAAAGTTGCCCCCTCCCCCCTCCTTTTGACTCCACAAAACTTCTTAGAATCCCGTGTCCTTCAGTCATCGACCTTCCGGGCAGCCGAAACTGTGATTTTGAGACGACCCTCCCAAATACACATTTAACCCTATTACCTAAAATTTTTGCAAAAAACTTATAGTCCGCACATAACGACGATATTGCCCGATACTCCCGAAGGGTGGGCTGCCCCTTACCTTTCGGGACTAGCACCACAACTGCTGTAGTCTGCTTATCCCCTAACTTACCCTTCTCCTTCATACAATTAAATAACCTAACCATGAAATTTCCTATCAACGCCCAATGCTGTAAATAAAATTCCACCGGTAGACCATCAATACCCGGGGCTTTTCCCTTCCTCATGCCCTGTAAAGCAATCTCTATTTCCTCTGCAGTAATAACCCCACCCAAAGTCATCCTATTACTATTACCTATATTGCATGTTGCATATATACACACCCTGTCTAACTCCACATCATCCACACCCCCACTTGTCCAGTACTTTTCATACCACAAATCTGCATATGCACTCATACCCTTCGTATTTCTTATCTCCTGCCCTGCTCTATAGAGCCCCATCGCCTCATTTACCTCTAATCTCGGGATAGCCGTCATTGCCTGCCTTTGCTTTTGATGTCGCAACACACGCTGACGGTTTGTCCCCCCCACAAAACTTCTTCTAACACTGCTTGCACCCTTAAAGCTTGAAACCGATCATTTTGCAATATTCGCAATCTCTCTTTTATGCCTACTATTTCGTCAATGGGAAAAACACCACCAACCATCCCCTGCCCATAACATCCTCTTAATCGATCCTCTAAATAATTCGCAAGCCCATATTTTAAATTATTTATACGTTTACCCTCCCTCATATAGTACTTTCTTATACTTTCTTTAGCCACATAATCCCACCATGTTACAATGTTATCCACCTCCTGAGCTTCCTTGTAAAGCTCTTTCCATAAAATAGAAAAACCCTCCAAACCTTTTTCATCACTCAACAAACTAATGTTCAATTTCCAATAAGTCCTATATATTTCCGCAATCTCCTCCCACCCTACTTCTACCACTACAGCCGTATGATCTGATATAGCCGCCTCAACGGTATTAAAAGATTTCAAAACAACCCTTTGAGAAAGATACACTCTATCTAACCTCGCTGCATATCCCCTCCTAACAAAAGTATGTTCTGTTTCCCACACCCTTCCCCAAACGTATCACGTAACCTAACGTCCCTCATCAAATCCCTGAGAGTTACAGACATATGTCCTGCCCCTTTTGGTTCTACGTCAGCCTCCCTAATAACGCAGTTCCAGTCACCCCCCACTATTGCTACTTCTGGAAGTTCACGCAAAAAATAGACAAGATCCTCGCACACAAAATCCTTCCTTACCTGCATGCTATTCTCTGCAGTCGCATACACACTTACCCATCCATGACCCATCCACATGCAACACCCTCCCCCCTCCCCCTCACTTCTCTGCAAAATAAACGGGCTCATCTCCTTTATTAAAATACCCACACCACCTTTTAAACGGGTAGTTGGCAGGGTCATTACTTGATAACCTGCTACCTCTAACACCTTACCCTCCTTGAAATTATGTTCCTGGAGGAACACAACATCCCCTCTATATTTTTTAAGAAACATACACAACCATTCTCTCTTTATTCTGCTACATAAGTCATTAACATTGACAGTCATACACCGAAGGCCTTTTAAATTTTCCACCCCTGCCTCTTCTCACTCTTTTCACCACTAGAATTAGTATTTCTGTATGTTATCTTCACAATACCTTCTTTTCCCCCTCCCTTCTTCCGATGTCTCTTATTATGACCTCCCCCATCGCCACCTCTTCCCTCTCCTACCATCCAAGTCTGCTTCCCAGGCCTCTGCACTGGCGTCAGTACATCATCCGAGTCTGACGTAGTTGCCCGTTTCGTTGTTACAATCATGTCCCCCATAACATGGTCTGGGGAAGCCTCACGGTGAACCTCAACATCCACCTTACAATGATTTATTAATCCCACTGACGTCTCCGTCACATCATTAATCCCCAAATTCTCATATCATTGACAAGCTGGAAGCAAAAACTCTCCAGCTACTTCTTGCTCAGATGTAACTCCCTCCTCAGGCGGTGACAAGGTCTTCAAAACTTCCTCCGATTCTTCCTATGTTTCCAACAATTCCTCCCGTGGTAACATCCCTGCAGAAGTCACTGAAGGAGATTCTGGGGCAGGGAACTGAGGGGGAGACTCACCCCCACTCTTAAAAACTTGCTCCACCATCTCGCTCCACAAACGACCACGCCCACCCTCAGGTGATTGATCCTCACCTGCCACCCGTAAGACAGGGGCTGCGTCTTCTACCACAGGTTCAGGCACGCCTCTTCTCTTCTCACATGCTGCAGCTATGTGGTCATACTCACCACATAGGCGACATATACGCCTTTGTCCAGGATATAAAACCATGACCTGTGTCCTGAATTCCTGAAGATAAACCTAAGACGGTATGGGATGTCTCAATGTCATTTTAAGATTAAAAGTACCTTCTGGCAAACCTGCGTAGGCGCTAGCTACCCACATACCATGCTGGGCAAAATGAACTGTCCCATATTTCTCGAAGACTTTTCTGATATCAGCTTCATCCGCTTCAAAGGGAACGTTATGTAACTTTATCCAGGTATAATGCCTGGAAACATCAATCATTCTCACACATACAGCAGGTGTAACATCAAGACTCACGTCCTGGAAACGAGTAACCAATGATTCATAAACCGTTGCAGTGAGCAGTTTCACGAAGATTCTATGCAATCCATTTAAAGCCACTCCATATAATTCTCCATCTTGAATTCCATACGTCTCTCTGATGATCTTAGGTAAGAGAACCTGTGTTGAACTAGGTGAAATCGTCCCCCGGAGAAGCTCAATACCAATAGTATTAATCTGGCGCCTATGACAAACCGCGATGTTGAAAGCAGTAATTTTCCTGAGGTGTCAAGAGAGACTTGACAGCACCACCTCATACCACTGCAGCCAGGTAACTGAGGAGCGTCTGCGCAGTAGGTCCACATGACACGAGAGTGATGAGGACAATATAATGTGGAACACTTCACGATTTTGTGTGCCATCCTTGCACAGGGGCCATGCTAATCTTCTCTGTATCGTTCTAATTTTAGTATATGTACTGCCGAAGCAAGTACATGGCTCATGTGTCCATGTGTTATGTGGTTCATGGTTCACTGTGATGTGTGGTTTTTGGTTCCCTGTTATTGCGACCCCTGAATGGGTCACAATGTATATAATGTACATTACCTTTTCATATAATTTTACATTGCTTATATTTGCGACATCATCTAAATCGTAAATATGTTGCTATATAATATTATTTGACTTAGTTATGTTATTAGGTAGGATGTAACATTTATATGTTATTCAGTGTTCATAGTTCATGAGAATTAAGTAGCTGACAGCATTGTCTAAGTACTGCATTTATCTCTCCGCTCGTTTCCCTGCCGGCTTCTTTGTTGCTGGGCAGCAGCAGTCCACCGAGAGTCAAGTGATCAGGGTGGGGTGATCACACCTCACCTGGAGGAGAGTCTGCCTGACCTGCACTGCTGCTTGTCTGCTTGACGCGCCTTCCAAGAAGACGGCCTCTCCAACTCTCCCTTGATGGCCCATGTTGGAAGATCGTCTCTGTCGCTTTCTTCTTGTTGGTTCTGTGTAACTCTGTTCACAGAACATAGCCTAGACTTAATGATTTTCGACGTTGTACTGAGGTTTTGTGTCGCATAGACACTCTGAGAAACTAAGGTCCTGAGCTGTAGCTTCTGACCTAATTTATACTGGTATCTGTGTATTGTCACAGTCGGGGATTTTCTAATGCTCAACTTAGATCCAGTAGTATGGGAGTTTTGTGACTTTTGTGGAGGATCTGCAGATGGTCCCTACTTGTTCCTGATTCTGTATCGCTGTTGCTTGTTATATTGCTGTTCGGCTTATCAGTCGTTTTATTGTTCAAGCAAGCTGTTCTGATTGCCAGATTGGTCAAGAAGTTAGTTTATGTGAGGACTTTTAGTCAGTCATAGGTTAAGTCTAGTCGAGTCTTGAGACATAGTGAACTACATAGAGCACTTACACACATACACACAAACTTACTTGCATATATATGTATTATGTTATTAAATGCTAACAATGTACCAGACAGTACTTAAAAGCCATAAAGATGTGATATGTGCCTTCAGCACAATATCACATCCTACACGAGAGAAGTGTAGGGAACTTGTGTCCTATATTATATTCAATTGATTACTATAAGTTACTTTGATATTATATGCCTAGACAACTTTGTTATCAATAAACTTATTAAATTTTAATTACTTTAGTTAGTAGCCTACCAGTTGTAATCCCGAATCACTATTGAATCTTACTGAATTCTAATGGATAATTGGACCAGGATACTGACTACTTGTTACGAAAACCCAGTAACAGGCTGGATGCTAGAAGGGCAGTCCTTTCTAGTATTCACTGGAGATCTCTATCATTATTAGATATCTCGTTTTTTGTAACACCTGTGTTGTGTGGGTCATGGTTCCCTATGTTGTGTGGTTCATGGTTCCCTGTGTTGAATGGCTTATGGTTCCCTCTGTTGTGTGGATCATGGTTCCCCTTATTTTGTTGTTCATGGTTCCCAGTGTTTTGTGGTTCAAGGTTCCCTGTGCTGTGTGGATCATGGTTCCCTGTTTAGTGTTGCTCATGATTCCCTGTGTTGTGTGGTTGATGGTTCTCTGTGTTGTGTGGTTTATGAGTCCCCATGTTGTATGGTTGATGGTTCCCTGTATTGTGTGGCTCACGGTTTGGATGTGTTTGGATGAAGGTTCCCTGTGTTGTGTGGTTCATGGTTCCCTGTGTTTTGTGATTCATGGTTCCCTGCTTTGTATCGTTGATGGTTCCCTATGTTTTGTGGTTCATGGTTCCCTGTGTTTTGCGGTTGATGATTCCTTGTGTTGTGTGCCTCACGGTTCCCCGTGTTGTGTGATTCATTTTCCAATATTTTGTGTGGTTCATGGTTCCCTCTGTAGTGTTTTTCATCGTTCCATGTGTTGTGTGGCTTATCGTTCCCTGTGTTGCATGGCTAATGGTTCCTTGTGTTGTGTGGTTGATGGTTCCCTGTGTTGTGTCGCTTATGGTTCTCTGTGTTCAGTGGTTCATGGTTATCTGTCTTATCTGGCTCATTGTTCCCTGTGTTGTGTGCTTCATGGTTACCTGTGTTGTGTAGTTGATGGTTCCCTGTGTTGTGTGGTTGATGGTTCCCTGTGTTGTGTGGTTGATAGTTCCCTGTGTTGTGAGGTTGATGGTTCTTTGTTTTCTGTGGCTCATGGTTCTCTGTGATGCGTGGTTCATGGTCCACTGTTTTGTGTGGTTCATGTTGTGTGGATTATGGTTCCCTGTGTCGTGTGCTAGATTGTGTTGATTGCTCCCTGTGTTGTGTGGCTCAGGGTTCCCTTAGTTGTGTGGTTCATGGTTCTCTGAGTTGTTTCTTTAATGGTTCCCTGTATTGTGTGGCTCATGATTCCTTGTGTTGTGTGGCTCATGTTCCCTGAGTTGTGGTTTATGGTTCCCTGTGTAATGTGGTTCATGGTTCCCAGTGTTGTGTTGGTCATGGTTCCTGGTGTTGTGGCTCATGGTTCCCTGTGACTGATGGGCCCCCTGTGTTGTGTGTTTTATGGTTCCTTTGTTTTATGTTTCATTGGTCCCTGTGTTCAGTGTTTTATGGTTTCCTGTGTAGTGTGGTACATGGTTCCCTGTCGTGTGTGGCTCATGGGTCTGTGATGTGTGGTTCGTGTTTCCCTGTGTTGTGTGGCTCACGGCTCTCTGTGTTATGTGGTTCATGGTTCCATGTGTTGTGTGGCTCATGTTTCCCTGTGTTGTGTGGTTTATTTTTCCTTGTGTTGTGTGGTTGATGGTTCCCTGTGTTTCGTGGTTCTTGGTTCCCTGTGTTTGGTGGCTCTTGGTTCCCTATGTTTTGTAGTTGATGGTTCCCTGTGTTTTGTGTTTGATGGTTCCCTGTGTTGTGTGGTTGATGGTTAACTGTGTTGTGTGGTTTATGGTTCCCTGTGTTGTGTGGTTGATGGTTCCCTGTGTTTTGTGTTTGATTTTTCCCTCTGATGTGTGGTTGATGGTTCCCTGTGTTGTGTGGTTGATGGTTCCCTGTGTTGAGCGGTTGATGGTTCAATGTATTGTGTGGCTCATGGTTCCCTGCTTTGTTTGGCTCAGGGTTCTCAGTGTTGTGAGACTCATTGTTCTCTGTGTTGTGTCGTTCATGGGCCCCTGAGTTGTGTGGTTTACGGCTTCCTGTGTTGTGTGGCTTATGGTTCCCTGTGTTTTGTGACCGATGAGTCCCTGTGTTATATGGTTCATGGTTCCCTGTGTTTTGTGCTTTATAGGCCCCTGCATTGTGTGCTTCATGGTATCCTGTGGTCTGTGGTTCATAAATCACTGTGTTGTGTTGCTCATGGGTCCCTGTGTCGTGTGGTTCATGATTCCGTGATGAGTGGTTCATGGGTCCCTGTGTTGTGTGGTTCATGTTTAACTGTGGTGTATGGTTGATGGGACACTGTGTTGTACGGCTCATGGGTCCCTGTGTTGTGTGGTTCATGGTTCCCTGAGTTGTTTGGCTCATTGAACCGTGTGTTGTGTGGTTCATGGTTCGCTGTGTTGCGTGGTTCATGGGTCTCTGTGTTGTGTGGTTCATGGCACCATGTGGTGTGTTGCTTATGGTTTGTTATGTTGTGTGACTAATGGGTGTCTGTGTTGTGTTGCTTATGGTTCCCTGTGTTGTGTAAGTGATGGGCCCTTATGTTGTGCAGTTCATGGTTCCCTGAGTTGTGTGGCTCATGCCTCCCTGTGTTACGTAATTCATGGTTAACTGTGTTGTGTGGTTCATGGTTCCCTGTGTTATGTGGCTCTTGGTTCCCTGTGTTTTGTGGTTCATGATTCCCTGTGTTGTGTGCTTCATGGTACACTGTGGTGTGTGGTTCAAGGGTCACTGTGTTGTGTGACTCATTTTTTCCTGTGTTGTGTGGTTCATGGTTCCCAATGTTTTAAGGTTCATGGTTCCCTGTGTTTCATGGTTGAAGGTTCTATGTGTTGTGTGGTTGATGGTTCCCTGTGTTGTGTGGCTCATAGTTCCCGATGTTATGTGGTTGATGGTTCACTGTGTTGTGCGGTTGTTGATTCCCTGTCTTGTGTGGCTCATGGTTCCCTATGTTTTCTGTGTCATTGGTCCCTGTGCTGCGTGGGTCATTGGTCTTGGTGCTGCGTGCGTCATGGATCCCTGTACTGCGTGGGTCATGGGTCCCCTTTGCTGCGTGGGTCATGGGTCCCTGTGCTTTGTGAGTCATGGGTCCCTGTGCTGTGTGGGTCATGGGTCTCTGTGCTGCGTGGGTCGTAGGTCCCTGTGCTGTATGGGTCATGGGTCCCTGTGCTGCGTGGGTCATGGGTCCCTGTGCTGCGTGGGCCATGGGCCCCTGTGCTGTGTGGGTCATGTGTCCCTATGCTGCGTGCGTCATGGGTCCCTGTGCTGTGTGAGTCATGGGTCCCTGTGCTGCGTAGGCCATGGGTCCCTGTGCTGCATGGGTCATGGGTTCCTGTGCTCTGTGAGTCATGGGTCCCTGTGCTTCGTGGGGCATTGATCTTTGTGCTGCATGGGCCATGGGTCCATGTACTGTGTGTGTCATGGGTCCCTGTGCTGCGTGGCTCATGGGTCACTGTGCTGCGTGGCTCATGGATCCCTGTGCTGCGATAGTCATGGGTCCGTGTGCTGCATGGGTCATGGGTCCTTGTGCTGCATGGCTCATGGGTCCCTGTGCTGCGTGGCTCATGGGTCGCTGTGCTGCATTGCCCATGGGTCCCTGTGCTGCGTGGGTCATGGATCCCTGTGCTGCGTGGGTCATGGGTCCATGTGCTGAGTGGCTCATGGGCCCATGTGCTGTATGGCTCATGGTTTTGTGTGCTGTTTGGCTCATGCATCCCTTTTCTGTCCGGCTCATGGGTCCCTGTGCTGTGTGTCTCATGTTCCCTGTGCTGTGTCCCTGTGCTGTGCGGTTTGGCTCATGGGTTCATGTGCGGTGTGGCTCATGGGTTCATGTGCGGTGTGGCTCACGGGTTCATGTGTGGTGTGGCTCACGGGTTCATGTGTGGT